GTTTAGAGCCATGCTTGGAATCGTGAGGTCTCACCTGACTGCTTTGGGAAGCACCAGCTCGGTTCTGCCTAGCCCACAACTTCTCCATGCCCTGAGGCCCGTGGGGAAGGAGTGGTGGGGAGCGCTGCTCCTGAGTCGGCCGAGGTCAGGGCAGACCGCTTGGAGAGCAGGGTGTTTCTGTAGGTGAGACTGGCCCCAATGTGCTTTTCGGGAGCCCCAGGGGGCAGCAGGGATGTGAAGAACGCTGGAGGACCATGTCACCCGGCCGTTCTATGATCTCTTAGCCTAATACTCCCCCAGCAAGTCTAGAGCTGCCTGGCTTGGTGAATTCCAGGGGAAAGTACCAGGACTAGCTTCTTAATGGAAAGCATATGTTGATGGCATTGATCACATTCGCTTCCTCTTCTTTCTTCCTCTGAATCCCGTTGTTATTTTATATGCCAGCTTCACATCACTTTCATTTGGTTCCTTGCTCGTTTGAAGAGTCCCAGTTTACTTACTCTTCTGTTAGAGTGGTGTTCCATGTATTCAGCCGTGCTTGTTGCCCTTCTTACTCGTGAATAGTAACGGTCAGCTCAGAGCCCACCACTTCATACATGCAGCTGGGATTTTTTACCCCACGAGCATCACTTGCCATTTATCCGCAATCAACGTTAGCGCAGGGAAAGGAGAAGCAGCGGAAAAAGGCAGCGAGAGCGGGGAAGTGCGGGATGCTGCCTTCTGAGGGCAGTGTGCGCACGTGTAATTGCGGTAGCCAGGCTTGCTTTGCTGCTCGAGTGCAAACTCTTTGCTTATTGTGTCAAGAATTCTTCTTCTGCTGGAACTGGCTCCCCACCGGATCCTGTCTGGCTCTGTACACCTCCTGTACTCATTAACAGCGGGCCCATTAGTTGAGTAATTAGGTAAATGCTTCCCCCAGTGCCACCTCCAGTTCCCAGAGTTTTGTCTCTTTTTACTGCAGTTATCTTTGGAATAGATTTTCCTTTTTTTCTCAATACATAGGCATGTTGATTTTTCCCTTATTACCCTCCGCTATTAGAGAGCTATTTGGAGGGACCCTATAGAGAGCCCCTTTGTGGAGATCAGGCTTTCGGTAAAGGTTGTCTAGGCAAACTGCTAAAACCAGCAGCTAGAGGTTCTCCTGCCTGTAGTGTGACACATGACAGGAGCAAGGGGCACCTTCAGCCTTGAAAACCTTAATTCATGGTGGACTTCTCTTGGGCACTGAAACATCACAGAATCATAGAATCATTAAGGTTGGAAAAGATCTCTAAGATCATCAAGATATGCATTGGAGTCTTTGATTTCTCCTCTGTCACAGTGTATACAGAGAGTATAGCATCATTACTTTCTGAAAAACCCAAGAAATTAATAATTGAGATAGGTTGGTTGGTTAGTTGTAGTACATCCTCATGCTTGGAAATGTTTTGCAGCAGGAGCTTTCTGAGACGGACGCAAAAGGAATGAATACCCCATAGCTACCCTGGTCTGATGTTAAATCTGCAGTAATTTTCAGGAAAAATTACTAAAGTGAATTATGATGGGATTGTGGGGTATGCTTCCATATTTCCTCTTGTGTTTTCCCCCCTCCTTTTCATATGCAGTATTAAAAGACTGGTTTAAATAGATACTTAGAAATTAATTCTGAAGATATATACTTGGCTATCTTGTACAAATCAGATATTTTCCTCAAATACATTCATGAATATCAGTCAATTCTCCTTTAAAGAGTTAAAAAATACTGAGTGACAGAGATAATTTCGTAAGTGCCAAAAATTTCTTTAAACTTAGTAAACAATCTAAATGATGGTTTCTGATTTCTCCATTGAGGTAAACGAGACAGAAAAGGGAGAGAGAAATTTCTGCTGAGTCCTTTCTCTAAATAGCTTTTTGCCTTGATTAGGAGTTCTGCCTACGTAATGATGTCCAGGCATGACTTATTACTGCAACTCTCTTATTATCTCATTTTACTGTTGTACGTCACTAGGTTAATACTTGCTGACCTGTGCAAGTAAGGAGCCCACCTCCAAAGAGCTCTGTTTACCTCCAAGAAGGCACAACAGCCGCTCAGTAGAGGAAGTGATTTACGATGAGAAGGCAGGGTCACCTGCTTCAAGATCCTATTGTAAGGTTAGGCTTTAACAAGGGAACACTGACAAATGCGCACAGAGAGGGTTTTATAGGCGCCAAGATAGACAACAAAAGCAGAAGTTATAACTTCAAGAGCAGGACACACAGCTGAAGCTGACTGAAAGGAATATAGTTTTGCAATGTGGGTAATTCATAACCCCTGAAACTGGAAGTGTTCTCTTAGCTTATTAGACCACAGGATTAAATAGTCTGAAATGACTGTTGATGTGGTTTTAATCCTCGGGCAGCCTAGCGATCGTGGCAGCTGGGGTCTTTACACCTGGGAGAGGTTTCCCTGCTCAGTTACCTGCCCTTCGCCGGGTCGGACTCGGCCGCAGCTCCACAGGGTGAGGGTGGCTGCTGCCGCGGTGCTTCCCTGAGGACGCTTGAGCATCCCAAAGACCTGACGGGTGATCAGAACTTGTCCAGTGCAGCACACAGTCCAGCCGAGGCTCTCCTCCTTCCTACTAACATTTTTTGACTGTTAAGGAAGAAATTTGAAGCCATTTGGTTTGAACCATCTTTCATGGGTTTGTGTACTCTGATCTCCTGATGACGTTCCCGGTTCACTGCCATCCGTAGGACTTGAGATCGTGCCATAGCAATGCTTGTTTTTTGAACGCTAAATTGCGTTGGCAATGGATTGCTGTTTCTCCCACAGTGGCCTCTTTTTGTTGTGAGTTGGTAGTAGCGGGACTGTTCCTGTAGTCACTGAAACTTTTTCTCTTCCTCGCCTTCCACTCAGATGTCCCACATCTGTTTTAACTGTACGTAGCTTGCATATTTTTTCTCACTGCTTCTTAAATCTTTACTGCTGCAAGACTTCCCATACACACTGTGGGCTGGCCTTCATGGACTGAGTGCTCAGCAGCGCTTCTCCTCCCTCTCACTTGTGCTGGATGGACTCGCATGGGGATGGGTCCCCACAAGCATCATTCCCAAAGGGCACGTGCGCTTCCGAGGTCGTGCTGCAAACCTCAGGCAAGTCCTGAAGGTCACTTGTCCTCTGCTCCTGCCCCTAAAACAGTTCCAGAAGCAACTTGCATGGACAGGGCTGCCCACAAGCCCACAAGTCCAGTGTGTGCGGGATGTTGCTGACTGTCAGCCCATGCTGGCGTCTGGAGAAGTTACGCTGGAAACTTGAATTCTGCATGGCGCTGTCACTGGGTCTTGCGTTTGTACTAGCCTAAGGCCAGAGCAACCGCGTGCCGTGTGTTTGGGTAAAACATTATGCTAAAATGCTGGGATGGTAGACTTTGGGTAACCAGAAGCTGTTGACTATAACCATCCTTTTCACTTAATGCAACACTTGCTATCGTACTAGCTACGAACTTGGTAACTAACGAAGTTTTAGTTGGGAGAAAGGTGTTGAAAACACAAGTCTCTGGCAATCATCAGATAAATTTCTGCTAGGTTTGGCCTGTTAGCAGGTGGACAGAGACAAACAAGTAAATATAAATCTAGTGCATGAGGTGCGCATGGTGTCTACAAGGAGGCTGCATCTTTAAATCAGCTGTGCGGGAATCATAGCTCAAACTGCCCATCACAGTGTTTCATATACAGAAAAACACAAACGCTACTCATAGTAAAGCAGGTCTGTTGTCAGTGGTGTTGGACAGTCACACGTGCCCCAAAAACTGGTGATCTAGGCAGCCACTTTTGTGATCTCAGTCTCGGTAAATATGCTTTAGGAAATGCTGAAGAAACTGTTTCAGCTACCAAGAAGTGCAGACCATCCCAAGAGAACAGGGGATTATACCCTCTAGTCAAAAGGACAATGATAGAGATTGAAAAAATTGCCAATATTTAGGTTTAGAGAATGTCTTAGCTGTTGACAAAAAAATACAGGCATGATATGAATCTATCCTCAAAGCACCCTATTGTAGCAAGAGAAACAGTATCATGTGGGATCTGCAAAAGTTTTGTGTGTGCTTCTGAAACTTCCGAGGTTCACTCTGTAATGGTATTTCTAGTGACGTGCAATACAAATAAGTTTTTAACTCCTCTATTCCCCCCGCTGAAGGGAAGTGTGAGCTATGAATAGGGTTTTGAAGTCCTCAGCTGGTATCATTCATTTGCCAAAGGAATTACCCTAGCTCCTGGGCTGACTCAGTCCCAGCCCTGGCCTGGGGGCCATCTGGCGGAGTCAGGGACAGTCCAGACTGTGCTTTCACCTCCCGCCGTGCCTGCCTAGGAGCAGAGACGGATCACAGAATCACAGAATCACAGAATGGTAGGGGTTGGAAGGGACCTCTGTGGGGCATCTAGTCCAACCCTCCTGC